TGTAACATTTATTATAAAACACACACACTGATTGTTTATCGATTTTTGTGTTCATCACTACACTATTATATGTGGTATCATTATTTCACAAAATGACAGTAGCTATTGTCAAATCTGGAATCTAATTAAAATTCTGACTATACTTACAAACACTCACATACATATCTCGCCCAGACCCAGAAAAACAATTTATAAATAACGCAGTGTTGTTCCGCGCGGTCAGTAATCGATCGCACGACACGTTGCGCAGCAGCCGGTCGCCCAGCCACTGCGCCAACCGCGCAATCAATAACATTCCTGCTTCCTATTTGTTATGATGGCAATGACTGCACGGTTGGTGCGGTGGCTGGGCAACCGGCTGCCGTGCAACGTGTCGCGGGTTCGATTCCCACACGGAACAACACTTTGTGCGATCCACAAATTGTTGTTTCTGGTCTGGATGTCATGTGTATGTGAACTTATATGTTTGTAAACGCACCCACGACACAGGAGGTAATCCTAGTGTGGGGCAACGTTTTTTTTAAAAAAAAAATTAACTTACTTCATCAATACATTTTATGAGCAGACGTAGAGACTCGTAATTGCACTCAATAGTAGGATGACGACAGATAGCGATGGATAATATAGCAGGGGTTAGTTAACTTATATATGATATTGTACGAATGTACCTAATATTAATTCAATTCTATCACATAATTTTATTATTAGTGATTAAGTGATTTATGAACTAAATTAGTTAATCATGTTACAAGATAAGTTCATAGTGGGGAAAAGTGGGAAAATTATGTAACAAGTTTGTAACATCAAGCTTTCCACGTGATCAAAGCTGTGCTGTGTAGCTTGGGTGTAGTTATCCTCCCAAAGGATATATACACCTTACTTACTAAGTGTACTTCACGCTAGGATTTACTCCTGTATTGTGGGTGCGTTTACAAACATAAAACTCGCGTGCACAACACACCCAGATCAACAATTTGTGCAGCACACAAATAGCATATTTGTTCATTGTGAGAATTACATCTGCGTCCGCTACAAACATGGTGTCACCCAGCCTAGGTGTATGATATTATACCTAAGTTAGCATACCGAAGGGACGACCTGAAGCCTGGAGCCCGCCATGTAAACTTTTACAGCATAGAGGAGCACGGCGCACTCCGTATTATGCATCGTGCATCCTGTGGCCAGTACGTCCAGCCTTACAGTTGTCGCGTAATATTGATACGCTCATGAAATAGTTTCGTAACGAGCCGTAACGTTGTTTGTCAACAAATATCCGTTTAATATTGTGTTATAGTGAATGAATGTGTAACACTTGTTTTATTGTGTACCGCTTCGGACAACAAACACTCGACTGTGTGTCGGTACTATCCTAACTGCAGCGGGTATGTTACATTGATGTATACATATATCCGGTCACAAGAATATGTTGAGGGCTGTACTGAGTATGGAAGTATTGATGAAAGATCAAATCTTACAAAAGGTGGTAGGATAGCCTATAAATATCAGTGGACTTGTAAATTCCAAGTTGGAATGGAGGTCGCGAAACCAATGACCAATGTGTTACTTGTCTTTTGGAGTAGACTCATCCTCATCTAGGCAGACGTACCGTAAAGTGCCAGGTGGAGTGACAGTGGCTGAAAAAAGCTTTCTATTGCAGCTATTGCAAAGGTGCAGCCGGGTGTTGGAAACGGGCTGATAATGACGAAACGGAGAAAATGCGGACCGGAATATTTTGTGTGAATAGTATGATGTTAGGTATTTATTACCTAATATGGAATAATTATAATCTATTTACACTTTAGACAATAGACAAAAGGAACAAATCGAAAAGCAAACACACAATGACTTTTATCGTCAAAACAATTATTATTTTGTACTAATTCAGTTTGGTAACCGGGAAATCCACGCAGCCTACTGGTGCAGAAAGTAGCATGTCACCGCGAAATTGTTGCTTAAGTATAGCAGCAGATTTAGTTTGGTCGTTTCATCGATCTAAGTATGTCAATTATTTTGTTTGTACAATACACAACAGAAGTATTAAAACAAATAAGTACAAACCTACATCATATTTGTGTTTGATCGAACGAGGCTCACGTTATACCTACGTAGCAACGTAAGCTATAGGCTGTATGACAGAATTCTTACTACACACATAGAATAATACAATTACGTAATATAAACAATCATAACAAAATGCCTAGACTTCGTTAAAGCGGGGAAGTGTTGTATATAGTTTGTTAAACCACTACTAAAAGATGAGTTTTATAAATTCTTACACTGCTAATATGTACCCATTTTATGCAAATGTCCAGATTTAAGCTAAGAAGTAGAATAGTAGTATCACTGACGTACTATAACTTTGAATCAAAATTATGTAATTTTGGGAATGTTTACATAAATCCAAAACTTAAACTCAAACCTGTCTTGATCCTCATAAGACCAAAATTAACTAATCGATATGTAATCCACCTTATCCAAAATCTCTGGATCGCCTTGTTTTTTACACAAGATTCTGTCTAGGATCTATTTGGTTTAAGAAATTCAAATAGATTAAGTGTCCATGCAACTAGATTTTAAATTGAGATCGGTTGTTCGACCACGATATGATTAGTGTCACCCGATTGATTTCGATTTCTGTAGGCTAGCAAGACTATCCAGTTTTTGAATAAGAAAGGGCCGATTTTTCAATCGTCAATTTATTCTTAACTGTAGAATAGAATTGTCATTTGGCAGTTTTCAGTATGGAAGAATTGTCAAATATTCAAAGTTTTTTCGTAGTTACATGATAAAGAATTAATTGATGATCTAAAAATCGGCCCCAAGAGGGTCAAGAAATGTGGTTTGCACAGTGGTTATCTACTATGATTAGTTTAGCCAGTCTGGCTGCCCTGAGTATAAGGATGATTTTTTAAGAAAAATATGTTGGTCATTTTTCACTCGCTGGCCAGTTAAATCTTAACTAAGCCACTATTGGTAAAATTATAAAAGCTCGCTAGGAGATACGAAAGACAGCACAATCTCAAATTTTTTTTCGAGTTCGTAGGTGGTACAGGAAATGTCAATTTATTGAGAGGTATAGGTCTTAATACAAAACAACATAATGGATATTTAATAACGATTGCTAGTGATGATGTTAGTAATAGAGAAAATAACTCAAAATTAACCAATGCTATGTCCATAATGTCCGTCCAAACTACTGCAACAATTCGGATAGTTGTACCAATATTTAGGAAAGTTCAAAGCTATAGCAACCATGTGATATCAAAGAGCCCTCTTGAAATTATTTTACTTATTTATTTGATTATGAATAACTTTTAACGCAGCATTCGATAAACCAGTTCGTGTTTTGTAAAAAGTTAGCCTCGGGCGCCAAACAGGACTTAGGTACAGATGGCTGGAGTCCTGTGCTCTTAACAAACTAACTGCAACAGGTTTGTGATAGTGATTATAAATATTTGCCAGAAACAATACAAAAGCTTTATTTAGTTGAATGAGTATTTTTTTTTAAAGTACGAATATCTACATACCTATTTATCTTTTATAATAAGAAAGGCACTATTCAGAACATTGGAATATACTTAAAGGTAACTTCAGTTAGTACTTCCTTTAAGGGTTTGTGAATAAAGGAACATTATTTTAGTGTTTTTTTTTAGTAAATGTAATTTAGGTAAGTACCTAGTACCTAGTAAAAAATATAACATGACCCCAATAAAATATTAAATGTACTCACCAGGCCCAATTGGAGTGTGAAGTCAGCGAGCGTCCTCCGCGGGATGAGCGCGCAGCCGACTGGCGCGGGCGCTGCGTGCGCCGCCCGGCGTGTGCGCGTCCCGGGCCCCGCCACACTACAGGTTACGCTGCAGAAGATCCATTAACTACAACACGACACTGCCGGCTCGCATTACAGAAGATATGTCGCATATCTATATATATAAAAATCAATGCCACTTTTCGTTGTAATTCCATAACTCAAGAACGGGCTCACCTATCCAAACCAAATGCTTAGGATTTGGTCGGCATATTTAGTAGATGGTTTATGTGAAGTTTGCACAAAATCGGTCGAGCGGTTCCTCATTTGTCACATTTTTTGTAATAAATGAATTCAATAGAAACTTTTTTCACAGAAACTTTTTTGAAGTTTTGTTGACAGGACAAGCACGTTGTTATGTCATTCATGCCGTCAGTTCATTTTGGACGTGGTTTGATTAAAGCATATTATCAGCGATAAATTTCTTTTCACATAATTGCATTTGCAGTGCATTCATACAAACGGTGAGTCCTGAATTTATGTGTACTTTTCTAAGTTGCCGTATATGATTTCACATAGCATCATATGCGACAGCTTCTTGGGAATTTGTTTTTTTTTTTGTTCTAATTTTTTTTTTCGATTTTTAAGCGAAAACATATGTGCATACGGGAAAAATGCCACCAGCCAGACGAGCAAATATAGGTCGGCGAACGCGTAATGCAAATGATGTGGCATTACTAAGACGATCACAGACTGCAGATGAACGCGCACAAGCTAATGCATCGCAGCGTGAACGTAATGCACGCAATGGATTTGTTAACCCAGTACCTGTACTGAATCTTGCACGGCCATCACGAATACGTCGTGCTGTTTTGGCTGAAATGATGCGTGCTGCTTTTAATTACAACAGTCAGATTGATTATAGTATGTATGGATACATTGGAATGATGGACGCAATATGTCCACATTGTGATGCGGCTAACTTTCCAGGTGAAACGCCCGGCATGTGTTGTGCTAATGGCAAAGTGAGATTGCCAGCATTAGAAACTCCACCCGAACCATTGTATTCATTTATTTTTGGGACATCGCAAGCGTCGAAGCACTTTCTGAGTCATATTCAACAATACAATTCGGCATTTCAAATGACTTCTTTTGGTGCAACTAAAATTATTAGAGATAATTTTATGCCGACGTTTAAGGTAAATACTTCAACAGGATTATTCCATGTTTGTATCAATCTGAAGCATAAAGTATATTTAAAAAAAAACTGATATAAGATTTACCTAAAATTGTATACATGTTACAGATTCAGGGCCAGATTTATCATCAAGCTGGTTCGTTATTGCCATACCCCGACGCTGATCATCAATTTTTGCAAATTTATTTTATTGGTGATGAAAATCGTGAATTGGATCAACGTTGTGCAATTGTTTCGAATACAAGACGAGAAATTATTCGTGAGCTACAAAGGTTTTTCCATCAGCATAACGCATTAGTTCAATTGTTTAAAATTGCTCTCGATCGTATGCCAACTGATAATCACAAAATCGTAATAAGAGCTGATAGAACACCTTTTGGAGAGCATGCAAGGCGATTTAATGCACCAACAATTGATGAGGTTGCAATTGTAATTCTTGGTGATCAGTTTCAATCCCGTGATATTGTACTTCATCGTAGAAATGAGCAATTGCAACGTGTTTCGGAACTTCATCGTAGTTACGATGCATTACAGTACCCAATATTGCATTGGAAAGGTGACGATGGTTACCATATCAATATACCAATGATTGATCCACGAACAGGTAAATAATTGACCTATTTTTAGTGTGTTGACATTTCATTTCTACAACTTTCTAAAGTCACATTTTGTAATTATTTTCAGGTCTACATATACAGAAAAAAGTTAGTGCCATGAATTTTTATTCGTATCGATTGATGATTCGTCCACAAGAACAAAATTATATCTTAAAATGTGGTAAACTATATCATCAGTACATCGTTGATATGTATGCCAAAATAGAGACTGAACGTCTTAATTTTATTCGTTTCAACCAAGCAAAATTAAGATCCGAAGAATATATTCATTTGCAAGATGCGATAGCGAATGATGCTAATGTTAATGACATCGGACGTTTAACTATATTGCCATC